TTTTAGCATTAGTACGAAGTTCTTTTATTCAAAAAACAAAAAAAAACAACAACAAAGAAAAAAGAATGTGCAACAAAAGTTTTTATCACTATAAAGAAATGAACTCATTCTCACGGTAGTATGGCCGTAGTGCATGTTTTTACAAAATTTTCATACAAATATACATACGAGTATATGCAACAACAACAAAATGCAAGCGCAGAAAAGAAATTACATTATAATGGGCATATCATTTAATTACGCTTTCAATCAAATAATTAGTACCACGGCGAATGACTTACAAAATGTATAAGATTATGGCATATAAACAATAGAATAGTACAACGCTTGTGTATATATGTATGTGTGTAGATATATTCAACCATATGTATGTATGTACGCCTTTCTGCGAAATTAGCAAATGTAATGCAATCTGTATGCACTTACATACATATAAGCATACTAAATCACCCAAGAGCGAACGCCGTGCAGTCTGTGGCATATCTCAGATGCTCCAAAGGCGAAACGAACTGTAAATTAATTGAAATTTTTTTTTAATTAGGAAATGCAGCGACGAGCAGCTGCATCGTAACCCTCAGGATATATATTTACATATTTACATTGACAATTTGACAAAATGATTTCGTAACTTGCGCTTAGAGTGCAAAATAAATTCGTAAGCATGGACAGCGGAGTGCCACTTCAACACAGCCGTGGGGGCAGGCGACAGATTCAAATTTATTTAAATATTTATTATACACTTGGTATACGATAATAATTTCGTATAGCTGATTATGCTAATTACATACATAAATATTTTGATGAAGAAACTCTGCAGCTTAAAGAAACTAATAATTATAGGAAAAAATCAAATAAAAATCAAAAGCTTTTGAATTGAATTTTTTTAAACCTTTTATATAACTTCCTGCTGATATTTTTCTTTTTCACAATATACACATATACATACATATGTATGTATGTATATACTAACTAACTAAGCACCCGGCCTTAACATGTGCTCCATACATCGAGCGTGATCAGCTTTAATCCCTTTCAATGCTTTCAAATATAATAAATACTGTTGTCACTGGCAGCGGCTTTGTCTTCTAATCAGATTTTCTAAGTAACTACATATTTATTGTAGTTTTCTTGCCTCACTTCCTTCATTGCCCCTTTTGCTTTCATATTGATTTGAATAATTTGATAATAAATTAAATATGTATTTACCCGTATGTATGTATGTATATACAATAATTATTTAAAAAATGTCTTCGCGACATTATCATGACTTTTGGGATGCTCCTCTCCTTTGTAATATGCATACAAATGTTATATTATATATATACTGTCTATATATACTGTATATAATATATGTTTAAGAAATTGCTCTAATTTTTGTTGCTGTTGCTCTCACTGAGCTCGCTTCTTTTGTATGGGCGGCGGTATGGTGTGACGACAAAGTCAATCACAACAGCGATTTCTTTTCAAAATAAATATGCTCATTTGCTTATCACCTCAAATTTGTTTCACTTAAATTTACAAGAAACTTATTTGTATGTCGTTCTTATATATACAAACATATATTGTAGCTTACATAAATTAGTGTGTAAATTATTTGAACTAAGTAATCGTATGTAATGTTTTATGTTTTGTAAAAACAAATAGAGTTATCCATTATGCGGTTTCGAAAATTAACGAAAAAAAAATTTTTTTCAACAGATTCCTTTTTTTTGTTGAAAAGTTTAAACCTTGGGTTTATATGTGAAATATCATTAAAATCACCGCCTCGCGAATTTATTGCAAATAAATTTAAAAAAAAATATAATTTAATTTTCTAACTGCGGTCGACCCTCGGCAGGAAATCTCAATCTCTCCGAGTGTATTTCGAATGAAAAAAGGCTCCTCAAAAAAGAAAAACTGTCAACCGTTCTGCGGCAGCTTAGTATAAACTGCAAGTCCCTACATTTGTTAGAAAACCCTCAAGACGCAAAACCACAAATTAGAGGAGGAGCTCGGTGGAAAATCGCTTCAGCGGTTACAAAGCGCCAATTACAAATTACAATTCATTAGAACTATTTTGCGTCCATTTGTCCGCACGTATTGGTATCATAGCCATGAATATGACATATGTTTGTTTTCAAGTTCTCAAGAGTTAAAGATTTATCCGCATAAAAAGTGTTCTCTGCGTACGATTTCGGTGACCAATTGACATCGCCAAGGCGCGAGATTACGCAGCCGCGAAATAGCTCCCGAAATAAAGCCATATTCCCTCGTGTTGTGTGGCATTTAGCACAAACTTGTTGCAACCACCTCTAGTCAAAATCGTGTTCTTCAATTGCAGGTCAAAAAAAGTCGGTTATCATACGATAAAAATGCTCCGCATTAACAGTGACTGTCTCGCTATTCAAAGCAGTAAGATCCGATCACAGAGAGTAAGTTTTTTAGAGTGAGAGAGGCGACTCTCTTCTATTATTTGCGGATTTCGGGAGCGAGTGAGAAATGTATAGATGATTTTGCTGTAGAAAATTTTGTTCGAAAAATAGCCGTTCACGGCTTGTTGTTTAAGCACCCAATCGATGGATGTATGGCGTTGCGAATAGTTAGCTGGCTTCTGTTGTTGTGTGAGATGTACTTTATACGCACCGTAAGCGTAATTCCTAACTCTGGAAAACGTCGGGTTTTCAGCGAAACTTTCATTTACAGCAGCGAAATTTGAAATGGAAAAGGCAAAGCTATTAAGCATAGGCCTTAGAATATCTGTAGCCGATCCAGTTTCTTCAAAACTCTTCAACATTTAACCATGTGATCCGGTCTCTTCAAATTTCTTCAAAATTTAATTTTTTTATGTGCACCAAAATCTTCGCTTAAAGGCCGAAACGTTTGAATCACCATATTGATTTTTTGTAATTTTAACAGATTTAACGAGTTGTACGTTTGTTAAGCAATCCATTGTCATAAATACCTCACTCTTTGACTAAAACAAAACATGTTTGATTTCACATGCGTCAAAATATAGCACTCTACTTTTGAAACCACGAAATGGATAACCCTATATAATCGTAGCTATCAATATTTTTTGTTTACATTTAAGCAGAAAAAAACGGCAAACATTTTTAACGAGCCCTTTTTAAATGGTTGCCATGCGCCTAGTAGGTTCACGTACAAAAGAATGTAGTGTTGAGCTGGAGGGCTTTGTTGCTATGCTCACATTTGACAATAATTTGAGTATTTGAGTGAAGGTCGTTGAGTTTTGATTAATTTTGTGAATTTGATTTGAATATTTTTTAACTCTAGAGATGTGCGATTAATCGATTATTCAATAATAAATAATTTTGATTTGGTTCTTAACTTCATTTTATTATAATTAAATCGGTCACCAGTTGACATTCTTGGTATCTACAATATTATGCTCCGATCAATGAAACCTACTTTAAATAGGCGCAGTTTTGCATAGAATTTCGAGTAGTCGGCCATCTTTTTTTTCTGCAAATTCGTTAAGTGTTCCACCCTGCATTCGTCCCGGTCAATCCCAACGCTGCAAGGTACATAGGCAGTACGACATTTCCCAACGTACAAGCTTCTTTTCCTACTACTACTGTGAGTCAAAATTAAGGTGAGCTTTTAATTTGAGCTTTGCACGTTTAATGTTTCGGCCTGATTCTTCTTTTTTAATGTTGGTAGCACTGTTATCGACATCTACGCCAAATTTCATGCCAATGCCAATATTGGTATTTTACTTACGCTTGTGTTTACTAAACGACTAAAATTGCCTTCGTGGGTCTTGTACTCATTCTTCGTGACCATTTCGCTAATAATTCCACGAATATCGTTCCCCAACTACAGTATTCGCCGGACTTAGCACCATGTGACTTCTGGCTCTGCCAAAAAATCAAGAGACCACTTCGAGGACCCCGTTTTGAGTCGATTGAGGACTATTTGACATGCTTCGATAATTGGAAAAGAGCATTGGCATAAGGGCATTGTATCGGCAGGGGACTAGATGTTCTCCTTCGTCGGAGTTTGGATGAGTTTTAGGGCGAGACATTCATCTATCTGGGTAAGTGCCAGAACTCGGCGACGGAGCCACTCTCCTATCACAAATCGATGCCTAAATTTTGCGCTTCTCTACATGAACGTATTCAGTAGTAGATTTTAGAAGGCCGAACTACTCTCAGTGCAGGGTTCATAACCGAACAGAGCGGGCTTGCACCCTAAGCGTGCAGTTTAATTTTTGGCCAGTTCTTTTTATGTGTGAGATCACGGGACCCAGTTGCAGGCACATTTATATTCTGAAATGTTTTGGTCTAAGACCGTGAACCAATTTAAAAATGCATTTTCTTTAAAAACTCTAAATTTCGCTGAATACATGCCAGAATGGGACGATTCCGGCTTCACATGCATAAATCGAATCATAAATGGTGAGTTTGATATGCGAACTAAACAACAAGCAATGCTATAGTGTCTGATGGATTTTTATGAAGATCTTTTTGTTTCATGGCATGGCGTACTGACATTCGAAAGAACAGGGTTCGAGCTCAGGTTCGGTCAATATAAAATAATAGAAAGTTAAATTTTCGAATTTTGATCGCCCCTCAACAAGGAATGTGAAGCTCTCTGAACGTATTTCTAACACGAAATAAATGCTTCTCATGAAAATTCATCTGTCGTTCGGAGCCGGTTTAGAATAAATTGTAGGGCCTTCCATTTTGTTGGATCATAAATAAATCATTGAAGAAATCAGCTGCATAAGATTCGAAAGCACTAAAGCGCACCATTTTACAATATTTCACATTCTACCGGTATTTTTATTTTATTTTACTAAATCAATTTACGTTTTTGGACACTTCATGCACCGACGGAAGGCCGTCACACTTTATCACAGAGCAATTTGTTAACAAAATATGCTTAAATATATGGAAAAAAACGATGAAAGAACTAAACAATTAGGCTTCACTGGCGATTGCTTAAAGTATAATATACTTAAATTTAGAAAAGGTACAGAAAACGCTTCACACACTTACTTCAATGAATTCCATTGCATACGTAACTTCACCAGCTTCAATTTCATATCCATAAACGAACGCATTTCCAGATCCTCCAGTTGGGAATGTGATATTTTTAAGCTTATATTAACATCCGGTTCAAATTTATTCGACAAAGCATCCACAATCTGATGGAACGAGTCCACCTTCTCGCACGACAGCTCCACATAGTTATCGGCATAGATGGGTTCGCAGGTACAGGGCGACAGTTCGGGCCGCACAGCACAATGCACCGAGGCGACATTGGTAATACTCCAAACTGCATAGACAAATGATGCCATTTTGGCTGGCTAAGTGTGTTTGCTGTTGTTGTTGTTGTTTATAAAATTTCCTTTGATTTGTAATTTCGAAATACTTTAAAAGCAAAAAAGGACACTAAAAGTGATTTTTATTGAATTTTCGTATTTGCACGCTCGTACGCGGTAGCATGTGAATGGTTGGGTTTAAGTTTTTTTGTTTTTGTTTTTTAAATTACTTATTGTATTTATTTTTCATAATTTTAACACAAATTTAATATATTTCACTCAGCGTTGGTGTGTTTTTATTTTTGTTGCTGGTGATTTTTTTGTTGTCTGTTTGTTTCGGTACTCTAGTTGCGCTTGTTGTTCTGATTTTTGTTGTTGGAGTCAATCCTTATCAATGTGACTTTCATCGTAAAACAATGCGCCGTTAAGTTTACATACATACACATATTAAATATACATAGATATATGTACATATATGAATATATATTATATTAATTACGTTTATTTGCATGCGTGTGCGTGTGTCTGTGTGTGTGTGTGTGTGCGTTTGTAATTATTTATAAATGTTTATATGTTTTTTTTTTATATTTTTATATATACATACTTATATTTGTATGTACATAAGTATGATAGTGTATAAAGCCAAAGCCGGCACTTACATACATACATTTACGATTATCACTTTGAGTCTTTATCGCATTTTAAGTCGCGTTGTAGGCGTTCACTCGCTTCTCGCTTGCTTACTGACTCTTTTGCACAGTTTGCTCTAAGGCGCGCGCGTTCTCAACAACTCACATATGTAGACATACATGCATACATGCATGTGTACATGTGGTACATGCAAAGGCTGTTTGTATGCGTGTGGGTGTGTGTGTGCATGCAAGGATCTCTCTAAGCGTGTTAAGCGTGCAGGCAACTAAAAAATCTCTCACTCCTGGGCCAGGACCTATTGCCGCTGGTTTAGGCGTGGCTTACAGGCAAATAGTAATTATTTCGTGTTGTTGGTGGCGTGTGTTAGGTGTTTCTGCGAGAGTATGATTTTTTGCTAAGCGATGGGAGGATATTTCCTTAGTGTGGATTTTGTTTTATTATTATTATTTTTTTTTTTTTGCTTTTAGTTTAGTACAAAAATTGTGGAACACAAGGCTCTTTTCCTTGCTTAAAAATTTTTTATTTTTTATTATTGTAATTTCTTTTTTAATGTGGAGAATCACAGTTTGTTCGGTAACTGTAAATAAATATTTTATTTACTAATTTATTTGTTTTTTTTTCGCCACTTTTATCGTTATTAACTGTTCAACAAGCATTTGCCATTTAAGTTGTGCCTTTTAGGCAACAACACTGCCGAAAATCAAAAAATCCCCAAAAGTAAGCCAATTTGTGTTTTTGTTTTTTTATAGTTTCATTAATTTAATTTTAATTTAGCATTAGCACATTTTTTTAATTAAAAAAGTCAGTTCTTTTATACAAGACGTTTTTTTTCACAAAAAATAAATATGAGTTTTGTTGTTTTTTTTTTTTAAATTTTCCCACAACTTCTATCCTTTTTACAAACCCGTTGTGCCTCGCTCCAAACTTTGTACTTTGTTTCGCCGCTTAACAAATATCAAAATTTAATCTTTTCCTCATTATATATTTATTTGTGCATACGAACAAATCATATTTATAACGCGTATACATACATATATAGTATATATTTTAAATTGTTTTTCTGTTCATTTGCAGTTTTTGTTTTGTTTTATTTAATTTTTCTTTTTAATATTTATATTTCATATATGTAAACATATACATATATGTATATATAAATATTTTTTAATATATATATATATATTTCAGCTGATATGCGCGCACAACACTCTCGTACAATGAATAATAATATTAATTAAAACTTTTAATTATTGTTAATTTTGTTTTTGTTTTGTTGTTTTTTTTTTGTTTTTCTTCTTTAATTTTAAACTCAGTTCACCACTTTTGTACGATTGAGTACTCAGTTTCAATTTGAATAATTGAAAATCGTTGCTCCGCTGTTGACGTCCGTTTGCCAACACGATCCGATTACGACTGCGAAAACAATTCACTGTGACGATGGAGGATAGTCGTTGTGATGATCAGAATCATCGATTCCTGAATGGTGGCTGTTATTGCCTTTGCGTTGCTTCGACGTTGTCGTTGATGTTGCTGCGCGCGCGGCGTTGTTTGTTGTATTGGTGTATTGGTGTGTTGGCTGTTTGGCTGTTTGGGTGCCTGGGTGCTTGGGTGCTTGGGTGATGGTGTTGGTCGTCGCTGATTCGCGCTTGCTCGGCGAATGTTATCGCATTGGCATACAACTACTACACATACATACATACAGGCAGTACAATATCTTCGATATGGCTCTTATTAGTCGTAGCTATTCTCCAGCTAGAGTTAGCCTTTATGCTATTGTACACACTCGCTAGCTATCAAACATCGCTCGCATTGTTGTTGCCGCTATTACACTTGTTCGCTGCAATTCTGAATTGATCTGCGGCAGGCGAGCGCTCGATCGATCGGTCGATTGATTGTTCACATTCAGTTTAGAAATTATTACCGCGCAGGTGTGTGCGTGTGAGTGTTGGTGTGTGGGTGTATGTGCATGATGTTATTGCAATTGCACACTTCCAGCTCGCGCCTAGTAGCTTGCTTGTAAGTCTGTATATTTATATTTATGTACATAAAACTCAAAGTTTTCTATTTCATACATATACTCGTACATACACGTACATACATGGCAAATGTTGGCTTGAGAGCTTTTATCAGCTGCCAATGCGTTAAATACATCATATCCAATGCAGTAATTAGACAATTGTAAACGCGATTCGGCCGGAAGAAAGTCGCTGCATTTGTAAGTATATACTTACATATGTAGGTATGTATGTCTGGTTGTATGAAGCTATAAATCAGCTACAATTCTTCTTTTACGCTTTTATTCCTAATTTTGTTGGTATGAACTCTTCATTATCTGTTACTAAAGTCTTAAGTGGCAATCACACTCTCTAAAGTAGCATATTCATTTAAAAGCGCAATAAAAACAAGAAAGAAGAGCTATTATTGGCCAAGCTGAAGTCTTCGTATCTTTCACGACCATATCAAATATATTAATTTCATGTTAGAATTAGATATTAATTCTCATTTCTGAAATTTCACGCTCTCAAATGTATGATTTTGTATGGATGTTTGAACCAAAACCTCACATCTGAATAAATTTCTCAAAGCCTGAGGGAATAGTGTTTGCGTACAAACCGACGTACCGATGGACCGACGGATATGGCCATATCAACCCGGATTCTGATCCGCTCGGTATGGATTTGTATGGGTTCATATCTACACCTTCTGTTACTTCGATGCTTCAAGCCCAAGTTAATATGTATGTAACATCATTTAAAGTACATGAGGAGCTACAGACAAGCCGTGTTGGTGTGTGTAGTTGCAGTTCGGTGAATCATTTTGGTCTACCCAGAGGTTTTTCAAATTTTAATTAATAATTTATTTTTATCATTTATTAGTAATTCCCTGATCTTGTCTACTTTTATAACTAGCAATCTCATCTTATACGATCCAAGATGCTTGGAGTTCTGTTATCAATAGCCCATTCCTACTAAGCGAGCTTAACTTTACCATGCTTTTAAGATCATCTGGACACTTTAGGCTCCTTTCATGCAGAACAAAAATAAATGTACGACCTCATTCCGCCAGCATTGATTCCTCTGACTTGTTTTTTTATATCAAAACCTACTTGCTGAGAACTTTAAATAATTAAGTAATTCCTTCTCCTTTTTCCATGTATTGGAGTTTAGAGCAGCAGATGAGCTACAGTTTAGTGTAAGAGTCAAATGCAGCCCCCTCGTTCCGCGATAGGTCTCGGGTTCAGTGCAATCGGTATAGTCAATGATTTTCGGTCAATCTTTTGTTGGCTTTTTCGATTATCCCTCAGGCGATCCCCTTGATAAAGCTATTGGATTTGTGGATCGGGTACGTTTTTATACCAAAAATATCCTTCACTGCTGAAAGAATTATAAATTAGAATACAAACATTATTTGGTCCGAACTCATGACTAAAGTCATTTATTTGTTTAAATTTTCGAAAACAACAATCTGCTGATCATCACTCACACACTTCTAAATCAAGAACCAGCCATTCCAAGCTCTTACTCGTTGTGATATCGTCGTTCAAAGCTTTTGTCATACTTCTAAGAACTACTTCCACAAGCGTAGTACTTGCCATACCATAAATATGTATACTTTTTCCAATGAAACGGTCCACTTGCCACAAGATAAGAATTTTAAGTAAAAGTAAATATAAATACGATTTTGTCGGAGAGTCCGGTCTACAGTTTAGATCCCAGAGAGAAGTGTAGTCCTCCTGTTACCACCTAAGCAAAAAGTCGAATTTCAGTAAATCGACCCATAAATACAATTTTTTCCAATAGATCGTACAAGCTTTTCCAGAAATCGCAGAAACCTTAGTTTCGCAGATCACGTGACTGTAGCTCTGGAATACACAAAGAAATCTGCTCGATGGCTACCACGTATTTTAGATGAGGCTAGAGCGCATTTTACTAAATTATTCCTCAACAAATTCGAAAATGCTCAGTCTAGAACTTTAGTAAAGTCATTACTGGTAACGAATCTTGGTTCTTTAAGTACGGTCCAGAAACCAAACAGCAGTCCATGGTATGGAGCCCAACAGCAGCAAGCCCATCTGTAAAATCTAAGCAACAAAAATCAGCAGCAAAATGAATGACAGATTGCATCACCATCAAAATTTGTTGGAAAAGAGGAAGAAAGAGGATTTGCGGCCTTACTTTTTACGTCCTGACAACGCACCATCCCACACTGTTGAAATAACGAGTAATTTTATTGCGACTTCTGGGATCGAAGAAATATATCAAGCGACATTTTCCCTCCCGATATATCGATATATCTGGTTTCTGGTTAATGCCAAAAATTAAAAAAAAATTAAAAGGAAAGGCTTTTTATAGCAACGAGGAGATAATTTATGCGGTTAATGGTGAACTTGATAAGCTGAAAAAGAAAGATTTTGAAGACTGTTTTCAGAAGAAGATCTATAGGCTTAAAAAATGCATTGAGATCAATTTCGATTAAGTATCAGGTGTACAACTTTGCTTCCGCCGTTTTCCCATAGGTGGCTGTACGGGCTGAGGCTGGTTGAAATACATAAATGATAATGCCTTTAAAGTGAGTGTGGACAGTGCCTAACGAATTGTCATCGCCGTTTCAGTGACAGTTGTTCTTGTTTTCGTATTATTCACGCTCGAAAATGTCCGTTTATGTGCCTAATTCTCGCCATTTGCAGGAAGTTTTACTTTTCTGAAACTGCAACTGAAGCGCATCGAATGCTCTCAGAAAAAATGGTCAAAAAGTACCTGGATACGCTGAAATGGGAAGTCTTGCCCCACCCGCCGTATTCCCCAGATGTCGCCCCTTCTGACTTCCACCTATTCCGTTCGATGGCACTCGGCCGGGCAGATCAACATTTTCAATCCTTCAAAGAATTGGAAAAATGGATTGCTTCATGGATAGCGTCAAAAGAGGACTCCTTTTTTCGAGCCGGGAAAGATGGAAAGATGGGAGAAAGTTGTCGCTAGCGAAGGACAATACTTTGAATAATATATCTTTAAGCACTTTTTCGCAATAAAGCTTTTAATTTTGGAAAAAAAACGGCGGAAGCAAAGTTGGCGCTTTGAAGCAGCAGAAGCGACTTTTCGGCCGAGCTAATCTTCCAATTGGTGGTTTTGTGTCTCGATGTTTTTCCAACAAATGGAGGGACCTACAGTTTATACTAAGCCGCCTTCAAACGGCTGATGGTTTTTACGAGGAATCTTTATTTCAGGTACGAAATATACTCGGAGGTGTTGACATTCGCTGCCGAAGGGCGAACGCAATTAAAAAATTGAAGTTATTTTTTTATTTTAATTAATTTTCCAATGTCAGTACGCAATGCTAACCACATGGCTACCTCGGCGATTTAGAAGAGTAGATAAAAAGGGAAAAAGATTACGAATAAATACAAGATTTTTTTTCCCTTAAACTTACCGAACTTTTGTTCAGCCCCTCGCATATAAATATACATATATATATACCACACATATAATATGGTATATATTTTAAATAATATTGTCGGAAGAACGTGAAATTTAGAATTCGAATCAACGCGATATCCTTCAGAATTCGAAAATTTTCAAATTTCAGTCCCTTTCAAAGTAAGAGGGGCTTGTTCATCTCACACAGTATATTACGATTTAAATATAACCACCAAAAATTTCCCAGTGCATCAATAATATTTACAAACTTAACATTTTCTTCAGCATTGTCTACATACATACATACATACATATGTATTTGTAGTTGTTTCTAGCAAAGGAAATGAAATTTACAATT